ATCACCATTGTTTCTTAAAGCTGAATAGTACTCCATGGTATACATATACCACATTTTATTAATCCACTCCTGGATTGATGGACACCTGGGTTGTTTCTGAACCTCAGGCCTGAGAATCGCAGAGCCATTGTGGGATATAGCCGCCACTGATCTTTTAGAGATGTCCTCCTGAGGAGAAACAGTTTTTGATATGTAAACTAACACGTTTACATATTTCTTTAGGGCAAAGCTTTGTAAAACTCCTGAGACATTTTGTCTCCAATATAGTTATATTAATTTATGGAGCAACAGTAGACTGCTTGAAAAAATAAGTAAATAAATAGGAGAGAGGAGTTTCTCAACTTCAGTACCACTGACATTTCGAGCAGAAAGAGAATGTTCTACAGCATCCCTGGCCTCTACCAGTTGGCCACAACACTTCCCCAGTCCCAACAGGTGTGTGCAGAAACGTTAACACAGCAGGCCTGAAGACAGCAAGGCCAGCTTGCAAGGTGGGCCCTTGGCTGGCATTTGGGAACTTGGATTTCTGGGGAGTTACTTCCCACCATTCCCCGAACTGATAAAAGTGGTTCAACGTGCCTAAACTGTGCAATGTGATTTACGCTGAACACCTGCTTTCCTTCTAAAAGTATGGAATTTTGGTACACACTAGGCAAAGGGTGCTTACATAACTAGCTCCCAATACACACCTTGGACACTGAGTCTCCAATGAGCTTCCCTGGTAGACAACACTTCACAAATGTTGTCACAATACACTGCAGGAGCAATCAAGCATGTCCTGTGTGACTCTACAGGGAAAGACTCTTGGAAGCCGGTGCCTGGGTTCCCCCGAACTTGGCACCATGTGATTTTTTTTTTCCCCTATTTTGTTCTGTATCCTTTCACTATAATAAACCACATCCACAAGTATAACTACATTGCTAAGTCTTACTGAGTACTGAACCTGGGTGTGGTCTTGGGGACTCCCAACACTGTGACAACCACAAATGTCTCCGGATACTCCCTGGGGAATACAGGGCTCTACTGTTTAAACTTTCACAAACACGAAAAACAAAGACTAAATGAAGGAGGCTGAAGAGACATGACAATAAAACATAACACATCTTCCTGACAGGACCTTGAAATAAAGGAAAGGAAAAAGCTATTCCTGAATAAGTGTATGGACTGAAGTGCTGAGCCAATGTCAACATCCTGATTTGGAAGGCTGTAGAGCAATTACGTCATAAAGTGTTCATATTTG